GAACAGCTTATATTCTATACCTCAATGTATTATTAAAAGTTACTACAAAGCCCCATTCAAGATTAGTGACTTAAAACAATTTCTGTAGGCCAGGAATCTGGACGCAGCCTGAGTCCTAGGCTTCAAGGTCTCTAACAGAACATAACCAAGATTCTGATTAAAACTAAAGTCATCTCAATACAGAACTGGGGAAAGGTTCACTTCCACATTGGGTTATGTGGTTGATGGCAAAATTTGACTCTTTACTAGCTGTTGTCTAGAGGCTACCTGCAGTCCTCTGCCATGATGGCCTCCCCATAGGGCAGCTCAAACATGGCAACTGGCTTACCAGAACAAAAAAAAAAAAAAAAAAGACAGAAAGAAGGGATGCAAGTTGGAAGTCACAGTCTTTGGTAACTTAACCTGTGACATCCCATTACCCTGGACATTTTATTAGTTAGATTAGTTTCATTAGGTTGAGTCCACACTCAAGTAAAGGGGAAAACACAAAAGCTCCAATACCATGAAGTAAGGATCAGTGTAGACCATCTTGTAAGTGTAGACAGTGACTTATAAGGCAATAATGACTGACAGGCAATAAAGTCTTTAGGAGAAATCTCATTTTCCATCCAACTGACTTATCAACATATTGACTCAATTAAAATAGGTATTTCCCTGTAGAAGGATTCTGAATTTTTCTACAAAAATATTTGTTTATAATATCACTGACACACACATGCACTCACATTCATGGGCATATACCACCTAAAAACTATACCACAGAGCAAACTTACAAGATAGGAAATAACTCTTATGTAAAAAAATGATTATTTCCTTCACAATAGGATTCAAAACAGAATCATTTTAAATTAAAACATTCCTGGATATACCATTTCCAAAATATGAAATTATCAGTAGTTTTAGAAATACATTAATTACGAAAGAACAAATATTCAAATACTTTGCATAATTTCATCTTATATCAACATATTGTTATATTTTATAAGGCATGTAAGCTTTTCTTAGAGTCTTCATGAAGCCAAAATTTAAATTAAGTGATTTGAGTCATTTTTGAAATGGCAATTACAAGGAAGATGATTTTAATACACATCCAAAGGGGTGTGAATCTAAACCTCTGAACCATAAATGGCACTCTATGACATTATCTTAATTAAAATGATATTTTTGCTTATTAAAACCTTTAATAAGTATTCTTTACCAACCACAACACTGGTATTTTAGCTCTGACTAGGGGAAATAATGGGTTCTCTACTCATAATCCCTATTCTACTTTCTTAGAAAAGAGTAGAATTACCTGTTAAACTTAAAATGTCCCATTCCCATACACTTCTACATTTTCATCAAGTAAGCAAAAATGGGAAAACCAGACTGTGGGATAGAAGAGAATTAAACTGAAAATATAAGTGGCAGCATGAGTGATTGTAACAGGTACTTCACACCCAGAGGCTACCTAACTTCATCTAATGGATTGTGACAATGACACCTGAAATAGTGTGTGAAAAGTACAGCAATTTTACTATTACACCTGCTCTTATTAAGCCAATATGTCTCTAATTATCTAGGAATACAGAACTGTCACTGCAAAAAGGAAATATGATATCTAGGAAGCATGTACATTATTAATAGCCGCAAAAGGTAATAATTAAGGAAATATCATCAATGAAACTAGGAATCATTTCATTATTATGTTACAGAGATTAAGGATATCTTGCCAATGCAATATATTTAAATAGCAGATAAATTAATACAAATAAATAAGAACACAATGTTCAAGATGAGAGAGAACTGTGAAAGGATATGAAGTTACTTTTTCCAAAAGTGAAAAATCATAGCAGAATATAAACAGAAGGGGTGTTGCTTTTAAATAACAACAATGAAAAAGAACAAATAGCAAAACTGGGGCTTTACTTTCCTATATCCATTTAGAAATATAAAGTTGCATGGATAGAAAACCCCTCCCTTTATAGAGCAATTTGACTATTACATATTCTAGATGGGAGAATTGGGGAAAACGTAGAATTTCCTCTTGATGAAGTCCCTTTCCCACACAAATGTAAAAAGCCTGCTAGGGACCCCAAGCTAAAGTCTGCTCTTACTTCGATGTACTAATTCATTCTTTCATTTGTTCATTCTTTTATTCATTTATCTCTGAGATCATCACAAAGTAAAGGGATACACCAAAATCAAAAGGGTATTTATTCAAAGTAGAGAACACTTGCTCAATTGGGCAAAATTGGGCCTAAATTTTTGTGCTTTCAAAAATCATAAAAGGCACAGAGATAAAGATGTGCACTGGACCCTTCTAGAGTCCCTCTCACTTGTCTGAAAGCAGTCCCGTATTGAATATCCTCCTTCAAATTACAAAGTTTTAAACAAATTTTAGAAGATCAAGGCACATCAGGGAAATTGGGAGGGTAGGCAAGAATATCCCATTCCAAATCTTTTTTTCTGTAAATACAAGAGTTGGATAGAAATTATTACAGTGAAAGCAAAGGAAAAATTAAGCAAATTTTCTGTAACTAGTAAAATTATGCACAGAACATACAGAGTGCAAGTAAGGAATATAGCAGAAAAGTGCTAAGTCACTGAGATGCAGAAGTCCAGCAAAAGATTAGCTGAATGAGTGTTACCAGAAACAATAAATAGAGTCAATAATGTTGAAACCCAAGTCAAAGATGTGAAGATGATTGATAAATCACTTGTCACATGCAGCAAATAGAATAGATGAAAATGGAGTTAGTGAGCAATGGAGGTATTAGAAAGGCCTAAAGTACTGAAAGGTTGAACATCAAAATGATTTGGATCACTGGAAATGAATAAATAAAACAAAAAGTTAAAATACATTACTGGCATTTAATTAAAAAATAAAACATTAAGTGTTATTTTTAAATATCTGAAGTGAAAGGACATTGGAACTTGTAAATCCAAGGGAATCCCATATAACCAGAAAAAAAAATAAACAATTTAAATTTAAATAGAGCAAAACCTAGTGACATTATTGAACTCCTAGGATAAATACAAAAATCTCACATTGAACTAGACCAAAAAAAATAAATAAACCCAGTCCTCTTACAAATTATTTAGACCAAATATCAAACATTTCAAACTTCTCTTCCTCATTAATAGAGTTCAGGTTAAGGTATTGTCCATGTTTGAAGTCAACAGAAAGGAATTCTTGAAGTTCACGCAATCAAAAATAAATCAATTTGAAGATATGAAGCTAAACTTAATTTGATTAATCAAAGTAAAATTTTATCAATAAAAAAAGACTTGTAATAAAAGTCTTTGCAATGAATCCTGACTCAAGTAAAATACAATTAAATACAAATAATTGTCACAGTAAGCTTTTAATATATAGGTTAATTTAGCTTTCTTGGCACCACTGCTATTCTTTCCTCATTATCTATTATTTATAGATTGTGTGGTGCAGGCCTTGTGATGGGCTTCCCTTAGTGGAAGTTTAAGTGTGAATATATGTAATAAAGAAGGGCAAATTTCAATATTCAACTTTAATAATTTTTCCCTAATAACCTTTTGATCACTGCTTTAACATGCTAAGGAGAGGGGATTTTCATTTTAACAGACAATTGATGGCTTAATTTATTATTTCTATTCTAGGATTCAAATGGTAAAGAAATTTATACTAAGTGACCTACATGAAGAAGTAACTATCTTTGTAGATTAGACACAAAAATGATCTTGGGAAAATGTGCATTTCTTTTAAAGAAGTCCTACCAAATTGTAAGTCTCTACTTAACTATTACTGTGGTTTATGTGCATTTGTATATGTGGATTTTCTGAAAGCATAAGCTAACAACTCTTGGATGTTTTCCCTTCCTCAGCTAAGTAATTATATTTGTATTTAATTGTGAACCTGTTACATATAATATTTTTGCAATTATAATCACTTAGGATCATTTTGACATGGGTTTAGCATCATAAATATTGACAGTATAAAAACTGACCATATTTGCTGACAATATGAGGATTTTGATTCAAATACATGAGATTTAGACATTGAAATATGCAAAAAATCTCATTTCATCCAGGATCTTCCAGGCAGCTAATGAATTGTGATATCATTCCATTGCACTCAGTTTAGGCTTTGATCTCAAGAGTTACCCTCTCTGCAATGTACCAAAGTTGAGTCACTGCTGAGGACAATCAAATTCTATTAACCTCTAAGCCAAAACCAGAATGATAATGCTCTGTACCAGAAACAGGTTTCTGCCTGTTATTTGTTTTCTAGAAACAAAAACAAAAACACCACCACATCTCTAATCCCTTACAACCTAAAACTCTCTAAAACTCTTCTTCATACTTCTGTACCCATTTATTTCTATCCAAGAACCTGCAATTACATAGACTAAAGAAATCTCCAAGATCATTGAGTAGACTTAAATCCTACTGCTCTATGTGCTTTATTGTAAAATCACCACCTTTATTATAAAATCACTTTATTATAAAATCACCACCTTTTTGACATGATTACTGTTTTCAGAAACATCCAATTAGATTTTGCTCTTAAAGAACTGAAATAACAAGCACTTCCAGTTGAATGTGGGTAATTGTCTGAGCCCCAACTGCAAAGGGAAGATAGGTATTCTCTGAACTTCGAAATACTGGTATAATTTCCTTCTTGCCTTGCTTGCTTTCTTCCTTCATATATTTCTTTTTTCGTCCTTCCTTTCCCATTCTCTTTTCTTTCTCCCAGCCCCCCAGCCGTTCCTTCCTTCCTCTCTTTAGCACTCAGTCTAAAACTATTATGTTGCCCGAGTAAGTTTAGAGTCTATGAGGTAACAAATCACTGAGTGTTATTTTAATCAAATTTTTTTATTGATTTCTTTTATGCCAGGGGCCAGCATTAGCAAAAAAGCAAGTTTCTGTTTTAGCTTATTCTTTCCCATAGTTTTCAGACTCACAGATGTAGACAGTTTTACTGGTAACAGATCCAAGATTATCCCATTTCAGGGTTGGCAGCAAGTTCAAAGAGAATCCAACCTTGTGTGAAACTAGTACACTTGCCTTATGGCTGACTGCAAGGCCATGAGACCAGCTTCAGTATCACTGTGTCTCCTTATACAACCAAGACCAGTGTTCAGACCCAATGGGAAAGGGAACTAGAGGGTCACATCCCTGAGTTTTGAAGTCAAAATGGAGAGAAGGGCACTTGGCAGGAAGGGCATCACAGGCTTTGTCCATGTTATCAGATTTGAGCGGCCTGCAGAGGGCATGAAACAGCAGCCTAATATGGCAGCTCAAGAGCCCAAATAGAATGAGCCAAGGTCTGAGGATGAAGAGGGGAGTGGTAAGGGGACCTCTAGTGGTGGCCAGAATACCACAGGGTGAGGAGGTGGCAGAGGTGACTGTGAGAAAATGGTTACACAAACAGAGCATGACCCACTAGTAAATACACTATGGGAAGGGGAGGGAGATTTCTTCCTATTTGAGGAAGGCTTATAATATGGAAAAGGAGAAAACCAAAAAAGCACCTTTTGGAATGGAATTTAAAGCATTAGTGTGAATTCATGGTTTTTAATATATACAAGGATCTAGTGGAATGGGAGGTGTAAGTGTGAAACCAGTTTTCAATCTATAGAGATAGAGATAATAAAAGGAAAGGTTTGTATGTTTTGTAGCATTCTCAACCTACACAGCCTCAGCAGAGCAGCGCCTCAATGACCTCACTGAGATTACAGATAATGGTTTCTACATGGCATTTCTATTAAGGAACCAGAACTTGTAAAAATGACTGATTCCTGGGCCTCCCTGGTGGCGCAGGTGGTTGAGCGCGGCGCAGTGAAGCTCTCCACAGCCTCTGCAGCGCCGGTTCGATCCTGGCCGGCTGGCAAGGGTCCCACATGGCGCGGCAGACCTCTCCTGTCTGCCCGCTGCTCCCCCCGGCAGTGTATTTCTTCGTCAGTCTGCCTGTTCTGTTCCCCACTCTGTCTCTGGTGAATCCTCCCACCCTCCTGCGCCTCTGGCCTATACCCCGGTTCTTGTATAAATTAAAAAAATAAATAAATCTTAAAAAAAAATTGGCTGCTTCCAGGCCTGGGACAGGGAAAGAACAAGATGATACTGGAACATCTACTTTTGCCAGAATGTGAGGAAGTGCTTCAAGAATAATGGGTACATAGCAAATCAAAAACAGACAAGGTGTTCACACTGCCAAAGGTGGAGATATGAGCAACAAAATGACACGTGCTAATCACAGATAGCAACTCCGACATTAAGAAAAGCAAGGATCTGTTTGTCTATAGTTATATAAATGGATAAAGAACACTTTTCTTTCAAGGGGGCTGAAACTAATAAATGTAAAGGGAATGGTAGTATCAGAAGTTCATCATTTGACAATTATAGCAAACAGCAATTTAGTCGAGAAACATCAGTGTATACTAAAACTAGTAAGTGAATTTATAGGGAAAATAGATTTATATTTTCTCAAACTATCTTCTCACAAAATATTTGTTATACATAAAGGAAAAAAGAGAAACTTTACAGTGGAAAAAAGCAGGTAATCACCAATCAAATAACCAAAATGAACACCAGTAATGTGGCAATCAAAACCATGTGCAGCCTGATGGAATACTAACAGCAGAACACAGCATCACTCTGACATCTCAAAGATGTATTACCTGAACCATCATGCAGAAGCACCAGAAAAACTCAAACTGAGGCATAGTTTACCAAAAAAAAATAATAATAATAAAATGACTTGTAATCTACAAAAGTGCCAGAGTAACGAAAAGCAAGAAAAAACTAGAAGAAAAATTGATATATTGCAGGAAGTTAAAAAGTATGATGCAATTTGTGATTCTGGACTGTATTTGCTATAAAGGGCATCATTGTGACTGCTGGCAAGAAATGACTGCATCTGTGGTTTGTACAGCAATAATGTATTAACATTAATTTCCTGATGCTGATGATTTGTGTATAGGAAATCCCCCTTTTTGTAGGAAATATGAACCCAATTAGTTTTTGAAGATGATGGAACATCATGTTGAGAATATAGTTATTCCTAAACAATTCAGGAGAAGTTCTTTGTAATATTTTTGCAAGTTTATCTATAAGTTTGAAATATTTCAAACTAAAAAAAAAAAGTATCACTTACATTCTCTCCCTATATTTTTTCTTTCCTTTTTGTAGACATAGAGTAGGCTCTTAATCCTGGATATCACAACTGAGGAAGTTATGTGTAGTGATTTAGCATAAAGAATGTTAAGATAACATGCTCCAGAGGAAAAATTTTATATGTTTTTAGAATAATGAATTAATATAGATTGATAACCAATTGCCATTGAGGTACCTGAATTAGTTTTCTTGTTCATTTGTGAAATTGTTGATAGGTAAAAGAGAACTCAATTTTAAGTGAATGGTTCCTCAAAATCTTATGCTAGAGAAAGGTTTAGAGGCCAATTTTATTTTCTTAAACCAATAAAAGATAATGAAGAGAGAATATCACATTAACTCATAATAGATTCACTGTTTCCATGGTCCTCAGCATAATTTATTGAAATGGTTTTTAATTTAATTGACAGTATATATACATAATTCAGAGGCGATGATAACCATAGGATAACAGAATTAGAGATGAAAAATCTCAACATGTTTCCAACCAGAGAGGATATCATTTATCTCATTGCTTTTGGGTGTTCTATGGAGTTGGATGTGAAAACCTCTTACAAAAATAATTCAGAAGCAGAAGATAGAGGTTTTAAAATTCTTCAAGCAGAAATAGATTTTTCAGGGAGGGTTGTCATAAAGATTTCAAATTGATAGCCTCTACATTCTATAAGAAGTTATAACAGTTCTCATTAAATATTTAACTCTTTCACTTCTTTCTTGCATCAGTTTTAGTCAAATTTGAAGAAAAAATAAGAGCTTTTAAAAATGCTTCAATTTCTCTATTCAGGGCCCTCCTGACTTAGGTCTATATATTCTAAAATCTTGGAGATCAGTTCAAGTCCTAAGTCTCATCTGTCATTAAAGTAGTTTTCTAATTAAGTCCATAATAAAAAGGAATTAGTAGTTAAAATAATTTGCCCTTCCAGTAATCTTTGCATTTTGGCAGTCAAATGCCTGACAATTCTGAGTAGGATATGAATCATCAACAAATATAATTTCAGGAAACAAAACTAGTCTAATTCTTCCTCCTCATTAATTATTTCATATGGTTGTATAGCTGCATGGATTCCCTGAGATTTCAGGGGAATTTGCCTGTCCCAGTCTTACTGTTATTATGAGATTTAAAATACATATATATTCTATATGTTTGAATCACACTTCCTTGGATTTTATGTTATTTATTTCTCAATGTACCCCTAACTGGTGCAATATAAAGTGGGTCACATACTTACATAATCTAATATAAATACTTGATTCTCAGCAATTGGAAAACAATGATAATACAAAGTTCATTTTAGTACAACCAAAATTGCAACAGGAACATCCATAACTCTCAAATATATAAAAAAATAGGAAAATTTAGCTCAGATTTCTCTAAAGCTTCACAATTTTTGGTTCTTTAGATTTTTATTTTTTAATTAAAGATCTGTAGGCATTTCCTTTATCCATGAGAGCACTAAATGATAATTAAAATATGACTTAGTTAAATTAAGTGGATGAAAAATCAATGGAAAAAATTAATATATCATTCCAAATTTATAATGTCTACTACAGCCCTGTGGCACGATGATTCAACCTCTCTCCTTCCTCATGTGACTCAAATCGTGAAAGAGCATTTGAACATGACTTCTGCTAAATTTTTTCAATTACATGCAATGAGTTTCTGTTTCATGTGCATCTATGCATCAAATCAATTCATCAGTGTCCAGACATATAACATGAACAGGAGTCATTTATATCTTCACTTACATATAGAAAATTACTAAACTATAAAGTCCTCAGTTTCCTTTATTTACACTCTTCACACAAAACTTACACTGTCCCAACTTGTGAATTTCATTATAAGTAAACATTTCAAAAATATTTTGGAAAATGGCATAATTTTAAAGTTTTACTATGGAAGTTTTAGAATAAAAATGTCTTTTAAATTGAGTATATTCATTTTGTGACAATTGCATCTTACTTATGCAGCTCTTACCTTCATTTGCAGAAGACTAAGAAAATCTTCTTTGAAGAGCAACTGTTCTTGGCTTAATATGTAGGGGGTGATTTGCTAGATTCATAAACAATGGTCTTGTACCTAGAATGCATGTTTTGATTAAAATATTGTTTTCCTACAAGGTTTAATTTGAAGTTGTCAGGTTTACCAGGAGCATATTTTTCTGTCCCCACCATTAAATCACTGTCTGGTCCCTTCTGGTAATTTGGTAATTTCAAATGTCTTATTCAACACAAAATTATTTTTCCAAAGACTACATTAATTGACATTAATTACAAAAAACTTAAAGGATATTTTCAACTTTATTCTCAACTTGATTTCTCAAAATTCAAAATTGTATATAAGTAAGTAAAGAAAATAAACCAAAATCTACAAGATTTTGTGCAGCTATAGTATTGTAAATTGTCTTTGTAAAGAGGGATTTTGTTCACAGATTTTGGAAAATGGTAGGTCTGTCAAGAGCTTATATTATTCTGTCTGTGTTAATTTTGTGTAGAAGCATGAGTTTTCCTTAATCACATTTTAAAAAATTAGTAAGTTTGGGGAGGCAAATTGAAGAAATTTTGAGTCCATATTAACTGCAAGCAAAATTTTTTTCCTGAATAAAGGCACAACTAGCTGAGGATTAGATAAAATACACCAAGATTACCTCTACCCTATCATCAATTATGTGTGTTTCATAAAATCATTGGATGAAGATTTGTGTGTGAGGCCTCTACATGTAGCCTGGCAAATGTTGGAATTCAATAAATGTCATCAACATTAATTTAAAAATAAGAAACAACACTTACTATTGATATAAGCAAAAAAATCAAATAAGGAAAATCATTTGTACAGATAGTGGCTCTAAACTGTTAATTAAAATAACAATCATTGTCTTAAAAGTCATGCTACATATTGACTTTTTTTCTTGTAAAGAAAACAATATAGGTGGCAATTCTGACAATCTCTGGTATGTAACTATTCAGTTCAGTTATCCTATATTATACTTACTCTTTGCCA